GACGACCCACCTACACCGAGGCAACGATCAGTTGACGACCCACCTACACCGAGGCAACGATCAGTTTCATGTAAACTGAGGCTGTTTTAGCACCGAGAAGGTTCAAATCAGGGCCAAAGGAGTCGTGTCGAGACAAAAAACTGTAAAAATGGGTCTAGTTTTTAGTCTGTTCAGTGGACCTAGGAGAACGGGTAAATGTGTCACAGCTGAGATAGGTAYCAAATTTAAATACTTTATAATTGATTTGGAACCAGTGGAGAGATTTTAAGATGGTATGGCGAGGTTAACCTCTGAGCCAAACGTACAGAACCTCACAGTGTTCTGGTCAGGTTCTAATGAAGGCGTGGATCACTGTTTCAAACTGCTGCAGATAAAGAATTAGCCTCATTTTATAGCTGCCTCAGATGAAAYAAAAAGATTTTACCAACTGATTTTATCTTGAACAGTAGAAACATTTTAGACCCTTAAATTTGTGACGGTTGGTTTGATTTAACCAATCAGGACGTAGAGAACACAAACGAGCTTCTCAGCACATCAGCYTCTGTCAGTCCAGCTTCAGAACACAAGTCTGGTTCTGAACACAGCTGTGAGGAGACCCAGTGAGAAAAACAGGAAAGAAAGACCAGATTAAATCCCTGTGACGGATCAGGAGCGCTGCAGAACGATGAATGCTTTTAAAAAAAAGGAGTTAAAAACTGAAGGTTCTCACCAACAAACATAATTAAAGACGATGAGAAGTTGCTGGTTGTAAAACATGAGAGCAGCTACAATGTTCTCAGAGGTTCTTGTTGGGCCAAGTTAAGTGTTTTTGTGTTATTGGACCAATAAACAAGGAAGGATGAATGATAAACTCTTCCACCTGGATCCGTTCACACCTGGAGAGAGGATGTTCCAGTCCTCAGGGCTGCTTTGTTGATGTGAACCGATCCTCCTGATGCAGCTGCAGTAACCGCAGCATTTCACCACTAAGTTCTTTAAAACACGCGCCGGGGTTCTGCTGACGTAYCTGAACGGGCTGTCACCTCTTCAGATTTTCAGGAGTGGACCGGATCATTCCAGTCATAGTCCTGGGTTCGGCTGAAATACCGATGAAACCGAGGGGCGGACCACTAACCTCCGAGGTCACCCCGAGAGCAGCTGCGTTCTCCGTTCAGCCTCCTGAACAGCGACCTCATCACCTTGGCGCTGCCGAAGCGCTTGAAGCGAGCGCGGACGTTCTCGTGGTACCACTCCAACGTCCCGATCCGGAGAACCCTTCAGGGAGGAAACGATCGGGTCGTTACTGACATACCTGAACGAGTCAAACTGAAACTAGAGCCTGAGGTTTTAATACGATGGAGCTTCCTTCAGGAAATGCTTCAGTTTGCTGCTTCGCTTCAAGAAATAATATTATTATTATTTCCACACWGAGAAAATGTTTTTATTCCACTTAGTAAAACGACCGCTGCCTGAAAGCACAACTGTAAAATTAACTTTCAAACAATCAAAATATTAAAGTTGACAGTCAAAACACCTGATGTTAATCAAACTGAAGTTTTTTAAAACACGAGCTGGGAACTCAAAAGTTCAAACCTCAAATTATAATTAGGGCTGTCAAATTATTAAAAATTTAATCTATTAATTCCAAGGTAGCTGTGAATTAATCACAATTAATCTTAAACNGAAGAATCAACCTCTGACATCGACATGGTTTGAAGCATTTTTTAAATCTTGAGGCTGGAAACTGATGAGCTCAGCTGATTTATTCATGTTACAGGGCCTGCGTTGATCAGCGCCGCCCTGGTTAAAACGTTTCTGTCAAATTCTGACTGCAGCAGTGAAACTTGAGACTTTGGCGAGAGTGAGTCAGAGCTCCTCAAAGACCGGGTCAAGTCCAAGACAAACACGTCCAAATCATAAAAAGTCTTCCATGTTTGACTTCTGGTATCTAATGGCTGCGTGGAACAGAATGACACATGTTCCTGCAGAGCGTTCGGCCTGCAGCTGCTCTGCTGAGGCTGAGGTCGTGTTTAACTGGTCCTCACCTGGTCATGTGGCAGGGATCACACAGCCAGCCTTGCTCCTTTCTGCTGTAGCGGCAGCAGGACCTGCAGACGTGAAGCCGACAGTCCAAACACTGATGTTTGATGCCGACCAGGAGCCTGAAGGGCTGCAGACAACGGATGCAGTAAAACTCCGTCAGGCTGCGTTGGTTCCCCAGCAGCTCTCTCTTCGTGTCTTCTCTCTCAATCCTAGTTTTTAGCTCTCTGAAAAAAGAAAGAAGATATTGTGATAAAGTATACATTTTGTATATTCTACCATTATGCAGTGGAGGGCAAGTTCAGCTAGTCCGCTAATAGCTAATAGCAAAACTAACTTTCAGAAACTTTAAAAACCATTAGCAAACCATTAGCAAATCAATTAACTTCTGCTTCATTGAGTTCTGCTAACTAGCCCCTAACACTTGCAGCGCTCCAGGTCTGCATCATGAGCTTCATGTGTGTGTAGCATTTTTTTTGTATTTCGTGTAGCATCTTTAGCATTGGACATGTAGTATCTTTAACATTTTGTGTGTAGCATCTTTAGCAATTTGTGAGTAGCATCTTTAGCATTTAGTGAGTAGCATCTTTAGCAATTTGTGTAGCATCTTTACTATCTTGTGTATAGCATCTTTAGCATTTTGTGAGTAGCATCTTTAGCATTTTGTTTAGGATCTTTAGCATTTCGGGGTAGCATCTTTAGCATTTTGTGCAGCATCTTTACCATCTTGTGTCTAGCATCTCTAGAAATTTGTGTAGGATCTTTAGCATTTCAGAGTAGCGTCTTTAGCATTTTGTGAGAAGCATCTTTAGCATTTTGTGAGTAGCATCTTTAGCATTTCATGTGTAGCATCTTTAGCATTTCACGTGTAGCATCTTTAGCATTTCACGTGTAGCATCTTTAGCATTTCACGTGTAGTATCTTTAGCATTTCACGTGTAGTATCTTTAGCATTTCACGTGTAGTATCTTTAGCATTTCACGTGTAGTATCTTTAGCATTTTGTGTGCAGCATCTTTACCAATTGTGTGTAGCATCTCTAGAAATTTGTGTAGGATCTTTAGCATTTCAGAGTAGCATCTTTAGCATTTTGTGAGTGGCATCTTTAGCATTTCACATGTAGCAACTTTAGCATTTCACGTGTAGTATCTTTAGCATTTCACGTGTAGTATCTTTAGCATTTTGTGTGTAGCATCTTTAGCATTTTGTGTAGCATCTTTAGCATTTTATGTAGCATCTTTAGCGTCTATCTAGTAGCATCTTTAGCATTATGTATGCCCACCTGTGTTAGTCTGTAACAGGAAGAAGACAAAGGTGTGTGACTCAGATATCTGGTCAGAAACTGTGGTTTTACGTGGGGCGATGTCCTGAAGCATTCTGGGAGATGTACTTACTCAGCATAATGGCAGTGGTGCAAACAGCTAACGTTTTGATTAGCTGTGACCACCACTGCCATTACGCTGCATTATTCATTTAACTTTATTTAATCAGACAGATCTGTTTTTGCAGAGTTTAAAATTATTTTGCACTTAAACTTTTCTGAAATGAAAGATAAAAGTTTTTGTTTTTCCAGATGTTGCTATTTTAAAAGATGASGAGTTTTGATGTTTTGATTTTCCTCTGTTTGCTCCCCTCTCTCTGCTGCTCTCATGTCTTTAATAAAGGACTTTCAGTCTCGTTTCTTCGGCGAACATTAAAGCAAACTTCTGCTGATTGTTGGGAAACYAACAGCCCTCCTCAGCGCTCTGAGCTGCTGACTGGAGCAGAGGGAAAACTCAGATAACGAGTCCCAAATGTCCCTGTTTGGGTGGAGTCTGGTTTAAAAAGGAAGAGCAGACTTATCGTTAATTAAAGCTGCTTTTAGTAGCGTGCTTCATGAATTAAGGCTCAGATCAGGGAGGATAGTTTTCAGTGTTTCTTAACATTTGACAGATTTAGRTGCTGGTCATTTAAGGTATGATTTTAAAGTGGTGTCAGTAAAATATTCTGCAGGACATTTCAGACCATGTGAGGTCTGAAAACGACATGTTCTCCCACCAACAGCTGCGACAAACAGCTGAATTATACGAGCTATTTCTTTTTTTTTAAGGCAACTTTGATGCTTATTGTTCTGCAAATGTTGGCGGGTTCACAAAACGTGAAGCAATCTGGCAACTGTTAGGAAACCTTCAGCTGGTAGATATTTGGTTTTTCATCCACTTCTGGCAGGTTTAATGTGAGCAAATGTTAACTGGTGCAGCGCGGAAGGGCTTAGGGTTTGTTTCTCCTGACAGCAGCTGCAACGAGACAATAAATAAATAAATAAATAAACATATAAATAAAAATTATGCTGCAGGTTCTTTGAATGCAAGAAAAAAAAAAGAACCAGTAATGGATGATGGGTTTTAAGGGGTGCCCTTTGGATTTGTTTGCTGTTTGTCCTCCCAGGATCCCAGCAGAGCCTCCAAACTGGCTCCAGTTTTGAGTTATTTAACATCATCAGGACCTCCACTCCTGGATGGTCCCTTCTCATCACCTCGGTAAAGAAAAGGCCCACGGACCGCCCCTTGGAGAACAGATCCCCCCCTGGATTAAACCACATTTAGGACCACAGCAGCTTGGAGGCAAAGAAACATTTGATTCAAACAAGAGTTAGACGTGCTGTTTGTTCAATTCTAATAAAAACACACAACACTCCTGTTGTGTTTGGTCGACGCACTGAGGGAAATATCTCATCTTCTGATCCAACATATTTGGTTTTACAGCACCGAGGCGTGGACCGGGTTTATATGAAAACCACATGAAGATCCCTATTTAAAGGTTTCACACGCCTCGGTGCCGGAGGAGAAAACAACAGAAACACTGAAACAGGAAGATAAATAAGAGCTAAAGAAGAACTTTGACTGGTGCTGGGAGTAAATGATGAACAGGAGGAAAACCTGAAAATATCAGAGAATTTAAATTCTTTTAGAGCTGTAACAAAACTAACATCTAATAATGATTCTGACCCGTTTCCAGCCCAACCTCCAGCTATGACCCAGCAGTTTTTAGAGTGTGGATCTGATTGTTTTACCCGAGTCTGTCCTCCTCCATCCTCCTCAGGTGGAAGTCTCTCTGGACCACGTCCCACACGTGTCTGGCCTCGTCGTCTGTCAGCTGGGACAGATCCAGTTTCCTGCCTGCGGCGCCGCCCAGCATGCTGAGGGTCGATGTGCGACGATTCTGTCCTGTGAGACAAACAACCAGAGTCACTAACGAGGCTTCTCGTGAAGGAGAAGATACACAAAGCATCTGGCCCAGGTCTGGCCCACACAATGAACTAACACTCAGCACAGATACCACAAATAACGACGGCCCTTTGGTGGCCCAGAGGTGGTCGATGCATGGGCCAGAAACACATAAAACAAACTGTAACTGGGCCAGATGTGGCATCGACAAGGTTTAGGCCACACAAACTATACCGCAACCAGACCAGTTATGGCATTGACATATTAGTACCATGTAAATGAAACCAAAAATGGGCCAGTTGTGGCATCGACAGGTTTAGGCCACGTAAACCAAACTACAACTGGGCCATTTGTGGCATCGACAGGTTTAGGCCATGTAAACCAAACTACAACTGGGCCAGTTGTGGCGTCGACAGGTTTAGTCTTCGTAAACCAAAACAGAACTGGGCCAGCTGTGACACTGACAAATTTGGGCCACACAAACTTAACTGCAACCAGGCCAGTTATAGCATTGATATATTTGTACCATGTAAATTAAACCACAACTGGGCCAGTGTTGGCACTGCTTATGAAGGTCACATAAACCAAACCACAAATGGGCCAGTTGTGACACCAAAAAATTTTGGGCCACACAAACTAAACCACAACCAGGCCGGTTATGGCACTGACACATTTGTGACACATAAGCCATTCCACATTGGGCCAGTTGTGGCATTCCATTTAAAAACAGTGCCATCATTGCCAGACCTGGCCCACATCTGATTCTTAGTTTCTGCTTCAACTGATGTGAATCAGTGGTTCATTAATGAGTTTCTGCAGAACTGGATGAGATTCTGTAAAACCTGCAGTACCGTAGGCCCTCCAGGACCAGGACCAGGACCAGGACTGGTTCAGAGTAACACTGATGTGGGTCAGAGACCAGATTATCCTCCTGTTTCTGTCCTGTGGTCTCTGCTGTCTCAGTGCAGTTACACTGCTGGAGGATTTTAATCAAATCTAATTAAATATTTCACATCACATGATTCGGTCCAGTCCAGTCCGGTCCGGTCCGGTCTGATCTCAGGATCTTCAGGATCCTCTCATTTAAAAAAGCAGAAATGGTAAAAACAAAGGCAGCAGGGGACAAAGCTAAATGTTTGCACAGTGAGAAGAGCTCTCAGGTAAATAAAGGCTTGTTCACGTCGTTAAACCCAACAGGTGTTTGTTTAACGAGACTCAGCAGCTGAAAGTCCTAAAAACACCAAAAACCACCGGATCAGAACCTGCTTTTATGTTTAATCCAGTCAAATGTTCATTTTAAAATAAAAAATCTGAATCTGCAGGATTCCTGTTTGTTAAACGAAGGTTGTCGACCTGAAACACTTTAAACAAAGAAACATATTTTATTCCAGTTAAATCAGCGTTTTGTTGCTTTTCCATCTTTTTAAAAACTATTTCTAACTCCAGCAGAAGAACAGAAACAGGACAGACTTACGTTGAGCAGCCTGCAGGCAGTTTTCCCTCTGAAGGCTGAAACACYGATCACATGAGTTCACCAGGAGGAAGATGACTGCCTCCTCCTCATCCTCCTCCTCCTCCACTTCAAAAGGTCAGCCCGTGAGTCCGGCTGACCCGGTCCACAGAACCAAAGCTGCTGAACATGTCAGGATTAAGTCTGCAGTCACATGATTCTGTAACAGAGGGTTTAAATCCRAAAATTAAACTCATTTAACATCAAATGTATAAAAAATACATTTTATCACCTGATTTTTTAAGTATTTCCTGTTTGCCTGAAAAATATCTTTAATTAGGAGTTTAACTGATTAGAAATGACGACAGCTAATTAAACTTAATTAATGATCTGCCTGAAAGTAAAASTGGTTTAACAGAGCAAACAGTGATCCAAGCCCAAGTTCAGCTGAAATCTGAAAATTAATTTTTGACCCCTTCAGATGAGAAACTTTAGTTTCTAACGACTCTGCAGTCGGCGCCACGCTTCCCTGGGTCCAGAAGTCGCCAAGAACAATTAAAGTTGATTTATTTTCTCGTTCTGCTCTTAAAACACAACAGTTTTCTTGATTCGAACCATGTGACCAATAAGAGCCAATTTTCTTGTTTGTTCAGTCACAAAGAGTTGTTACTGTTTATGTAACGTAAACAGAACCTCTGAAAGAGACATTTTGACATCATGTTGCTTTATTACTTTCATYTGATTGAATGTATACTCTGGTATACGACTGCTGGCTCGTTATAAAAGCTGCAGCTCATCAGGGGAGACAAACTGAGCAGGGAGAGGAACATTAAACACAAAACAAACTCAACTCGGAGCTAAACTGGTCAAAAGAAATAAAAAAATCCAGAGTTTGGTCCAAGTGGGTGATTATTAATAATTGTTTTCAGCTGCAGCAGCAGAACATGAACAGAACCTGATACCAGCTGTTGGTTTGGGCCGAGCGGCTCGTGTAACSAAGACAAAACATTGTCGTTGACTCCCACACGGATCGCTACAAACTCAAAACAAAACAACGTTCACATCTTTCACATGAGATGAATAAGAACATAAACGTCCCAAATTTACAGAAGTTACTGTCACTGGTTAGAAATACAGAAATGCAACCGTATGCAGAAAAACAATCTAAACTAAAATCTTATTTATTTAGAATAAAAAAATCGGTTGTGGCAGCAAAACTTACAAACACCTGATCAACAACAACAACAACAACAAAATGGAATGTGGCTCAGAAAAGAGCAGCAGAAATGATGAGAGAAGTGGCTGCAGCTGCGACAGGTGAAACAGGAGCTGATGAGAGAAGTGGCTGTAATCATTTTCTTTAATTTTTTTCTTCTTTCAACACCAGCACATTCTTTAAATTCATCTCAGACTTTAAACAGTTTATCTTCCTACATTTATCTCCTGATGTTTGTTTAAATAATTCTCCCTGATGATTCACGCCCAACACAAACAGACACTCCTCCACAGCAGCTGAGTGTTTCCCGCTCTCTGAARCTCCGTGTAGTTTAACCAAAAGTTTACTATAACAAACCTAGAAGTTAACTTCTGTTGAGTTTCAGTCTGTGAGTTAAACACAAAACTTCTTCAGTAATAAATGAGTTTTGACTGACATTCAGTCCTGTTGGACAGATAAGTCTGTAAATGTAGCAAAAATCTAAATTCCAACCACGAAAAAATAAATAAATAAAAACTGCAACAGGGCCAGATTTTAGAGAGATTCAGGAACAGTTCTGTGACACAAAGGAAACACCTGGGCAGGTAAACCAGCTCAACCAGAACAATGGGACCAGTTGAACCAAGTATTCAGCAGGTAAACAAAGTGTTCAGCAGGTAAACAAAGTGTTCAGCAGGTAAACAAAGTGTTCAGCAGGTAAATAAAGTTTTCAGCAGGTAAATAAAGTGTTCATCAGGTAAACAAAGTGTTCATCAGGTAAACAAAGTGTTCAGCAGGTAAACAAAGTGTTCATCAGGTAAACAAAGTGTTCAGCAGGTAAACAAAGTGTTCAGCAGGTAAATAAATTGTTCAGCAGGTAAATAAATTGTTCAGCAGGTAAATAAATTGTTCAGCAGGTAAACAAAGTTTTCAGCAGGTAAATAAAGTTTTCATCAGGTAAATAAAGTGTTCAGCAGGTAAACAAAGTGTTCAGCAGGTAAACAAAGTGTTCAGCAGGTAAACAAAGTGTTCAGCAGGTAAACAAGCAGAGTCAGGATCCAGCACCAGTTTAATCCTGTTAGTAAAATATTTTTCTGTGTCTTAGTGATTTATTCAAAGGTTCCTCTGTGTTCTGGGGTTTTACAGATCCAGCAGTTTTATGGGAATCCCCCTCGTCATTTCAGAGCTTCTGTTAAAGTTTCCTCCTGCTCGGCCAGCTGGACTCCGCTGAACTCCAACGCAAATAAAAATGTTACATTCATTTGAACCAAGTCACAAAACCTCATGCATGAGAAACACAAAGAGGCTTTTATTCTGAAATGTATTTTAAACAATAATTAAAAAGCCACTTTAACTAATTAGTCTAAACAGGGATGTTCTAATAATTCAATATCCTCACAGAATCTGGTAAATAAATGAAGTCAGACCAGGTTGGACCAGGTCTCAAGTCATCATGTCCTAAAAAACAAACCTGTTTGCAGTTTCAGCAGCTGACTCACTGACTGGTCCTGTGTTCCCGCCCCCATCTACAATGAGAGGGTTTCTCTCTGACAACTTATAATTTCCATGATTTGGATAAACGAGTTTAAATGTTTCACATCTGAAAATCATTTCTGTTCATCAGACCAACAGTTCTGTTCATCCATCCATCCATCCATCCATTCATCCATCCATCTGTTCACCCATCCATCTGTTCACCCATCCATCCATCCATCCATCTGTTCACCCATCCATCCATCCATCCATCCATCCATCCATCTGTTCACCCATCCATCCATCCATCCATCCATCCATCCATCTGTTCACCCATCCATTCATCCATTTGTTCATCCATCCATCCATCCATCCATCCATCTATCCATCCACCCATCTGTTCATCCATCCATCCATCCATCCATCCATCATCCATCCATCCATCCATCTGTTCATCCATCCATCCATCATCCATCCATCCATCCATCATCCATCCGTCCATCCATCATCCATCCATCCATCCATCCATCCATCCATCCGTCCATCCATCCATCCATCCGTTTATCCATCCATCCATCCATCCATCCATCCATCCGTTCACCCATCCATCCATCCATCCATCCATCCATCCATCCATCATCTTGATCCAGAGTCAGGTCTTGATCTGGGAGGTCCAGAACTAAACCAGAACAACAGGTAAATAAAGAGCTCAGCTCCTCTGTAGCAGAACCTGTGGTTCTTCAGCTCAGTTTGGTTCTTATCTTTGGACTTTTCCCAGTTTGAATCTTCTTGCTTCTGCAGGAAGCTTCTTTCTTCTTGCTTCTATCTTTTTAGTAACTAAAATTAGTTTTAACCATCTGCCGCTTGTGAGTTCTTTTCCTTCAACCATAAATTCTGACACGACGATGTTTCCATCTCAGAACCGCTATAAACCCTATTTACAGTCAAGAATCTATGAGTTTTTGTGGCGTTGCCATGACTTCTGGCTGCCGCATTAATGGATTCCTGCTGTCAGTGAAAGACACTCATTAAGACTTCAATGGTGAGCATTGTTCGGGCGGAACAGTGAGTCAGAGGAGCAGCCGAAGGACGGGAGGACTGAGAGGCTGCTTTTGGCACGAGGAGAGGGAGAGGTGATGCACCAGGGGCGAGTTACGCTTCGGAAAGAAATTCAGTCCGACTCTTCTGGTGGGACAAACGGGAGCCAGAGAAACTTTTTACTAATTAGACGTTTGCAGTAAGCTTCAGAACATAATCAGAACTTATTGGTCTTTAATCACAGAATCTAATCATATTTGAGTTCATCTTGGAGAAAGTTTCTCTGGTTATTCAGTCAGAGTTGTGAAGGAGGAGGAGGAGCGGCAGCTCCAGCTCCGAGAGGAACGAATGACTTTCCAAAACCAAACTGGGAATGGAAATCTGTTACTGAGCACCGTTTTCCCAGAGTGGCTTGTTAAAAAAAAAGGCAGTGGAAACACGTGAAGAGGTTTTAATGAGGAATAACTGAGTGATGATGTTTGTTCCTTCATTTAGAGCAGCAGGAACAACAGAAAACTGTTTTAAACTGTGATAAAATCAGCTGTGAGCCAACATGTAAAACATGCAGGATCGTGGCCCTGCAGGACCAGGACCGGACACCACTGTCCCAGAGTCTGGACCCCCTTTTTAACCTAACCCTCAGCTGCTCTGGTAACATCTGGCTGCATGATCTCAGCTCTTCTGGGGTTACAAAAGTCAGAAAGTTCAACAAAAACAACAAAACCCCATTTATAGGTCTCTTTGTACCCTCCAATAAATCATCAGTGATTTAATACAGGGGCTCTCACATTTATCCCAAGTCTGCAGCTCCAGATGTCTGAATAACTCAGATCTGAGGGCAGCAGAAATTTAAAAATGCAGATTTGTTTAAATCAGACCTGAAGATCCTAAAATAATATCACTGTGGAGTGTTTGCTTAAAACACAAGAAAACAACAAGAGACCTGTGATCACAGGGCCTGTGTACGAGATGGTGATGGTACGAAGTGGTGAAGTTACGAGATGGTGATGGTACGAGGTGGTGATGGTACGAGGTGGTGATGGTACGAGGTGGTGATGGTACGAGGTGGTGAGGGTACGAGGTGGTGAGGGTACGAGGTAGTGAGGGTACGAGGTGGTGATGGTACGAGGTGGTGATGGTACGAGGTGGTGAAGTTACGAAGTGGTGATGGTACGAGGTGGTGATGGTACGAGGTGGTCATGGCACAAGGTGGTGAAGTTACGAGGTGGTGATGGTATGAGGTGGTGAGGGTACGAGGTGGTGATGGTACGAAGTGGTGATGGTACGAGGTGGTGAGGGTACGAGGTGGTGAGGGTACGAGGTGGTGAGGGTACGAGGTGGTGATGGTACAAGGTGGTGAAGTTACGAGGTGGTGATGGTACGAGGTGGTGAGGGTACGAGGTGGTGAGGGTACGAGGTGGTGATGATACGAGGTGGTGATAGTACGAGGTGGTCATGGCACAAGGTGGTGAAG